TAGCCTAGTTGAAAAAAAAATAAAAAAATTTAAGTATGTAAACCCAAGTATTCTTTAAAGTTCAAGCTTTCAGCTGCTTTAAAATGTTCAAAAACCCCTCTGTAATTGTTGAAGAGTGGAGCTAAAGAAGAAAAGACAAACATTTGTATGCAAAATGGTTTACAGACAGAAAGTACACACATGCTCTGAAGTAGAAATAGCTGGAGGATGAACAGTTGAACTTCCAGAAACAATAATTGAAACCTCAGGCTAGAGATCAGCTTGGAATATCCCAGTGGAATCAGATACTTTTTAGCAACTCCTAAATGAGGCAAAAAATGCAAGCTACATGTTTTCATTTACTTTCCAGGGAGGAATTTTTGACTCCCAGATCTCCCCAATCCCACTGGCAAGTCCAGCTATGGTAACTAACATGCATAGTTAACATAGTTTTGCATTGATACAACACATCTTATAAGCATGGCTATACACACTCGACTGCCTTCACACAATATCATGTTCTCTGGCAAATTATCTAGAGATCTGGCAAGGAAATTTGACATCATTTTCTTGGGAAAAGAAAAAAAAAAGAACAAAAAAAAAATACATTCTGTTCAGGTGAGGGAACTTATATTGTCTCAGATAAATCTTTAGGGTATTTTATAAGTCTATTTAAATACGTAACTGTCTGGATTTAGTTATCCAACACTTGCCATTTCTTTGGAAGCAAGGAAAATGACAACACTAGGAAATCTAGAGTTTTGCTTTCCTAAAATCTGATTCATTCACATTAGTATTTGCAACATATATTCCTTCCTCACTTCCCCCCAAACGGAAACTGTTTCTGTAAATCAAGACAAACAAGATGAATCAAGCTTGTTCTTTTTCATTTAGCTTACCATGCTCAAGTCTACCTCATGTAACACCTTGCATTGTGAAATGGTCTTGCATTTTGTAAAGTCTCAGTGGCAGTGAGACAAAGCAAAGAATGTGAAGCCTTCTGCAGTAAAAGGCAAGGAAGGTTGGTTACTTACCAAGTATCATGCACCAGTGTGGGAGGCTTTCTAAGCACTGGATGACATCCCTCACAGTGTGAAAGAAGAGATGGTTCAGAAACTGTATAGAAAGGGAGCAGAGCTCTTTCAGATGAACTGTCTGGAAGAGTCAGAACTGCTCTCTCCCAGAAGGACTTTGAAATAGAGGAGAAGGAGTGAGCAACCATCTTTTAAATGCTGATCCGAGTAGAACACTGTAAAGAAGCTGCAGCTAGTTGGAAAGTAATCATCCTTTCTCCTGGGAGCTGCTGTCCCTACACATAGTCGTGATGTAGGGCATGCTCAGTGGTCTCCACCAGCCTCTGCAGAGTAAATGAAGAGGAGTCTCAGAGCTGTGCTAAGACTGGAAACTCCTCTGAGTCCTGCACTATACCTAGGTATTTCCACAGCAGGAGAGGGCATGTGCTTGGTCCCGCAAGGGGCAATGCCAAGCAGTTGCTTGCCTCCTAGTCCAGAGGCTGATGGAGCTCTCTTGGAGCACACTTTTACCACAGAAAACCATGGGCATAGTCTCAGAGCAAGTCAAAACACAAGCTGCTGTAGAAACAAAGGGGTTTTGTGGGAGTGCTTTGCACTGAACAAGCAGAAAGCTATGGCATGTCTGGCATCCAAGGTGCAAAGGATATTTCAGTCATGAAGTTCCAGGGTCCAGGAAAGGCAGCAGACCAATTATTTTCCTGGCTAATTGCAAAAAACAGAGTTCATCCTACAGGAAACGTGCAGAACTTATTGAGGAAAAAACATGTCAGGAATAACATAAGGGAGAGCAAACATCACAGTGATCTCTGGAAGCAAGTACCCATCTGCAGTGACAAAGTGCCCTGCCTGGGTTTGAAGGGAACCTTCAAGCAACCTTTTTGGGAAGAAAGGACCTTGCTCCTGCCAAGCCCTCTCCGCCAGCAAGGGGAAGGGCAGCCAGTCATGTTCCACACGGATGGCATCCTTGCCAGCAGGGAAGGAGGCAAATGTCTGAGAAGCAGAGCATAACAGCTGGGATAAGTTTTGACCAGTTTGCGTATCTCAGGACCAGTCTGTATCTACATTTTCTGAAGTCATCTCCATATTTTTTTTTTGCAGAGTGCAGAGGAGTATAGCCCAGCATACTAGCCCTTTAAATTTAGCAGGATTAAACAGGTGCCATGTGGCTCTTCACCTTCCACTAGGCTTGTTCATCCTTCAGGTAAGAAAAGCAAAGCAAAGCAGTGGGTTTACTTTAGCAGAAACCTCAAAGCCATTGAAACTGTTTCCCCTTTACCTGGTTTTATCAGACTACAGCACCCAGAACCACCCCTGCAGAGAGCTCTAAAATTATTTTACACATTATACACACATATTTTCTGAACCTTCTTTAAGCACAATAGCTAATTGGTATATATCCTAATTTTTATTGGCTACACAAATCACTTTCAGCAGCACTTCACAGTTATTCAACATCCATGTTCCTGGTGAAGAAAGGAGTATTATAAACATGAACTATTTTACAACCCAGTGTGGTGGGGCAATGGGATGAGCTGCTTGGATTCAGCTTGGAATTACTACTTTTGGCCCTATCATCACTCTCTTGTCAAGAGCATCCCTGGAAGAGGCCTAGGAAGGTAGGTTGAGCTAAGATACCATGTTCACTGTTGCTCTCCTTCAGCCTAACTTCTTCACTGAAAATACATGAAGGAGCAGAAACAGCACAGGAGGTTTAAGGAATTAGCTGCTTTTGAGATTTTTTTTTTTCTTCCTTCCTACTCTACACACACCCTCAAACCTGAAGAAGAGTCTGAGCAGGAGTATTCTTACCTAGAGACTTCTAGTCTCCTAAGTCAAGGGAGAGAAAGCATGGAGAGAAACATCTTGGTCATTAGGACATGCAAAAAGGAAGCTGCTAGAAGCTCCAAAACCCCTGTGCAAATCAACAATATAAGAAGACATTACCCTAAAAATTGATCAGGGACTAAAATCTTTCTTTTCACCCTTCACTTTTGCTGATATTTTATAACTACCTTAATGGTCAGAAGAAATGAAGAAAGGATAGAGTACCTTTCTTTGCTCAAACAATTCCCTGTAGGACACTCAAGTCATGGGACATGTTCTTCCTCTCTCATGCACTTAGTAGCAGGAAAGGGGAGGAAGCAATATTGCTAGAGCTAAATCTCCAGCTCAGGAGCAGTCTGAACATGTTGATCTCAAACTTTTTTCCCCTGAAAGCTATTTTTCAACTTGTCTAAAAGTAGGTTCTTTTTAGTTTGATGCTTCATTAGTTCCAACTAAAGCAGACTACATTTTAGTATAGGTTGTAGTTTGAATGGTGCTCATCAAAATACAATAAACGATAAAAAAAATGCATTTACACTGAAATGTATGTGGCCTTTTTGGCTCTTCAAGACTTCCAAAGGGATTTGGGTTATGAATCACAAACATTCCCCTCAGCATTAGTCCTACGAGTCAGGAAGATAGTCATCATTAATCACTTCTCAAGCATTTTTAACAAGGTGGTTCCCGTTTGTTGCATGTTTTCATTCACATCAGTCATTTACACAGCATAAAAGGCATGCCTAGCACTTTACAGAAAACCAAGGAAAAAAAAAAAGTCTTTGCTTTGTAGTGTTTATAGCTACAATAAGATCACATAAAACAAGAAAAAGATTCTCTTTCTGAATGAAAAAAATTGAAATGATAACTATGGTAAAGTAGCAAGTATTTTTCCCCCCCATGGTGTGAGATTAGTTTCCATTTCTATATTATTTTTTATACAGTTCCTACTTCCACTATTCATCATTTTAAGTAGAAACCTATTTACACAATTCACATAAGACTTTATTATCATCACTACAACAGCATTTTATGCCCTCCCCTTTCTGAAAGGATTGCAAATCACTATTCTGCTGTTAGACTGTTTGGAGGGTGGGGGAGGGAAGAGTGAAGCACCCCAGTTCTCCACTGAATACTTAATACTTGCATCAACATGTCTTTTAAGAAGCAGTAGCAGAGCTGCCAGAGTTACTGTAATCTGAGCGGCTATCTAAAAGGAAAAAAAAATCTGGAAATGAAATATATATTCCACTCTTTAAAAGATAAGATACCTATTCCATGACTTCCAGTAAGTTCATATTTAAGTAAAAAAATAAGGTTTCATTCGTGCTTCCCAGAATGGTTTATCAGTCACCTTCTTTTCCTCTCCCATATACTAACCTCCCCCTCCCGCCCCAGACTACCATCTGTATCCTATGGAAAAACTGTATATGCTCATGCATATTTTTTCAGGACTGCCTATAGCCCTTACAGTGGTAAGGAATTTTTATATGCTTCTTTTAGAGCTTTACTCCCAATATTACAGCTGTTGTTTTGGACTTCAGTGCCATAAATTAATGTATCAGCCCACAAGACTGGTAGACCAGAGTTCTGAAACAGCAGCTGTGAAAACAACACAATGAAGGGGACAGTTTCAGAAGTGCTCTGTTACAAGCTGTTTATTAGAACTTCACTTTGACAATAAATAAGGTATTTCCCAAGCAATCAAAATGTAATTATTTAGAAAGTTAAACAACTATAGTTTTCACAATGCATTTTTTTATATATACACACATGACTTCCTGTATTTTAAACACCAGTTCATCTGAAGCTGTACAATAGCAGAATGTCCACTTTTTAAATTCAGTCAGCAGGAGGCTACTGAGACACATCTTTCATCTCGCAGCTGTGGGTGTAAAAATAATCCAAAACCATATCAACTTCAGGTTGGGTAATTCAACTGCTAGGAATGAATCTTCGTGTTCACTAGACTAGCCACTGACTTCAAATTTGGCTGTGTGACTTACCCAGGAGAAGCAGTGCCTTTTAGATTTCTGGTTTCAAGGAACAAGCAAGCCACTCATCTCCAAGAGTACAGCGTAACCATTTGCAGTTTGTGCTGCCTCATACTGTGTTCTGCCCTCAACACAAGTGGCACAGAAAAACACTTCTGTAAAGAATGATCGTTTTCAATGTTGTAAATGTCTAGTAAGTACAAACTTTGTACTTCAACTTACTGTTAATTAGGAAAATGTCTTTTGGTTTTGGTCAAATGAATTAGCACTTCTTTACTTAAATACTCAAGACATTTAATATGCCTTAATAATACTTCTAAGAGTTTGACATTCAAAATTAACTTCAAAAGAATGTTCCTGTTAAATAAAGCACCAAGTTTTCCCCACATTTATTCCTTAAAGAAAGCATATGAAAGACAATGTTTTTTTTAAAACATTAGTTCTGCTGAGAGTTGTAATTTAAAAATAAAATTTAATTCTTATGATTTGATCAAAGCCATGCTTCCGGAGTGAGCTTTACATATTCTGTGCAACATCCCACTTTCCTTAAGTGCAGAGGTACAGGTCTCACAGTTACGCAGCTGCAATCGAGTTATCGTCTGCCTGACGACCCTGAGGCTTTAAGAAAAAGACAGAATTAAAGAAAACCCCCACAAACCAACAACAAAGCATGTAAACCACCAAGGCTGTTACGAAACTCACTTGGCAACACACATTGTGTTGATCAGTGCAGCTCTAGTACACAAGTGTGGCACTAAGCCTATCCTTACTTCTACTGGTTTCCAACAGGAGCACAAACACAGAGGACATCCAGCTGAAATTTCAGTTTGACCCAGTGAGTACTCGGTAGAAGCCTCAGCTCCTTAACTGCCCTGTTTCTTGGAGGAATTTTAAGTAGAATTGCTAGAGATGGGAGAGAGCAAGGAGGATGTTTTAAAGACAAGGCATCATGGAATTGTTTAGGAATGCCCTCAGGATCATCGAGTCCAACCATAAGAGGGGGTGGAGGCTGCAGGTGGGTCTCGATCCCGGGCCCTGCCAACCCGTGGGCACGGGCACTTCCACGGCACCACAGCTGGCAGGTACAGTAAGGTTTTTTGAGGTCCCAACAAGTCCAAAGGAAAAGCAAAGAATTTTTTTGAAGTCTGAGAGATTCCACAGGAATGTCGAGAACACTATGCTTTTGAGGAAAAAAAGGCTTTTGTGTTGACTTAGGAGGACATCTTGACAACTAATCTAGAAAAGCCACTGACTGACAGCATATGCAAAAGGTTCTGCCTATCTCTCTTGGCTAAAACAAAATTGAAAGAACGCCAGGCCCGTTTCCTGGAAACAGGAGTACAGATGTCTGAACAAGTCCACCTCAAGTCATATAAACAAACTCTTCAGGTTCCTTGCTTGCTAAGAGCCTGACTAAAAAGTGAATACAATATCCTGGAGACAACAGCAGTGGAATGAGAGAGCATTGTTTTGAGTAACTAGATTGAAATTATTCTTAAAAAGTCAGAAGAAGCCTGTGATCTATTTTTTATGACATGACTTGTCAACAGAGTCATATCACTTAAGGAAAAAAAAAAATCTAGATGCAACGATTCAACTTTAAAATTCATTTTACAGAGTGAGACACAGAGTAACAGGAACAGCCTAAGCACATTCAGCTAGTTTGCCTAATTGTAACCAAATACCTGTTGCACTTAAACAGTTTTCTAAAGGATTTTGGTGACAGCAATGCACAACCCTAGACTTTTCAAAGCAAGTAACTGCTACAAGCTGGCCATTTTAGTTTGCTTAGAAAACACTCAGCTTTGAACAGAGCTGGCATGGTAGCCCCCCAAAACTGAGCAGCTTCATGGGAAGCCTTTAAACACGTTACTTCTCACAGTCTCACCTTCACAAAAATGTGTGTCGGTATGAATCGTCTGAGCAACTGATTAGTGAAGTTTGGGAATCGTAGCAAGTTAACATGAAGAGATGGTAACTGCTGATATCCAGCCATCAGAGGATAGAAGTTATATAACATTTCCTGCTGTGTGCCAGGAAGGATTCTTAGTCGGATCTTAAAAAAGAAAATTAAAAAAAAAAAAAGAGCCATAAACACAGGTAAATTCTGCTCTATGACCAAAACCAGTGCTCTGTTTTACTCCCTATTTATACACTGTTTACTTTCTGAAATTGGGAAGAATGCACCTGCTTTCCTAATTCTAGTTAAACTATTACTTCTATACTGAAATACCATTACCCATAAATAACATGACAAGCAGCTCCTAGTCAGGCTTCCATTTAGCCCTTCTTTAAATGGAGTCTGCACCCATGCATTCTTCCAGACAGAATATAACCCTACTTTAAACATCTAAAAACCAGTGAGTTTGTTCTCTTTGCACATCATTGTAAGTCCACTCAATGTATTCCTCACTACCAGTCAGAATGATCAGCAGATGTGACAATTTTGTACCTGTTTAAGGCCAGAGAACATGAAGGCATCACTGGGTTCCACTGACACCTCCACATCCTGGACTAAGCTGGTCTTATTTTGCAGGTGATATCTGACAGGTAGGGATTCTCGGACTCGACCAAATGATGGCAGATCTTTGGAAAAGAAGTAAGTAATCTCAGATACAAAATACACTTCAAAGTTCCATATATATATATATATATGTACATAAATATA